GGACAGACGAAACGACGACTCAGAAAGTGATTCTAAGAAGATATTCAAAAGAACTATAGGTATATCGCTTCCTTCTCTATTTTACGAAAAAAATGCACAAAAACATAATAAAATAAAAATATAGCGGGTTATCATAAAATATGTTCCGTAACTATATATTGGCTGAAAAGTTGGAAGTGCAAAGTTTGAAGAAGATCAGATGACTAATATTGATCTACTGATATTTGATCTCTGAACGTTTTCTTCAAATATATAATCGGTAAAAGAGCCCAATCTATTGAGTTTGGCCCATAAGAAATTAATACATGAACACAGACCGACCGTGTGATTACATCGAATATTATGTTTGTAACTAAAAATTTAAAATAACAAAACTCAAATTACTTTTTCAATTATTCGCTTGTCCATTTATTCAAATTCAATATCTCTGATTTACTTCTTCAACAAAAGGGGAGCGGCGAAGGGGGTGGCTACAGGAGCAGCAACAGCGGCGGCAGGGGCAACAGCATAGGCGGCAGGGAAGGCAGCAGAGTGGGCAACGGTGTGGGCATTGTAGCTGGAGGCATAGGGGGCAACATAGGCAGCACTACCGACAACAGCGGCAGCTGGGGCGGTGTAGGCCAAAGGAGCGGAGTATGCCAAAGGAGCAGCAGAGTAGGCCACAGGAGCGGTATAAGCCAAGGGAGCAACTACACCGGGTTTAGCGGCAGCCACAGCCAAGAGGGCGAAGAAGCAGACAGCGATCTAAAATGAGGGTAATTAAAAGACATTAGTCTCGTAAAACACAATTTGATTTAGTTTCCAATAAACTTACGAATTTGAACATTTTGTTGAGGTTTTGGGGTGGTTTGTTTGTTTTGATTGACAAATTAAAATTGATATTTAATCCCTCAAACACCTCACTTTTTATATGTTAAGCCAACATTAGGGTTTTCAAATTCAAACATCATTGGATATACAAAACACGTACGCGATTAACTTTTGTTTTGATTTATGTGCAAGTATGCATGATTAAACTTCATCAAATATTTAAACTACCGAAGTTATGTTATTTTTGTGTGCGCGGGTGTGTGTGTGAGTGTTTTGAGATAGGTAATGGTCAATCAGATTTTATTTGTCGAATGTATAGGCTGGATTATTGTCTGTATTAACGGAAATATAGAGCGGTTGCACAGGTCCACTATTAATCAACATTTTTTTTTTTTTTTTTGAAAATGCATCAATTGAGGTTATGTTACATTAAACTATTGGGTTAGATATTCTCTCTAGACATTGTAACCGAAAATGGAAAAATATTGAAAAGTACGCTTGGGAAAGTATAGATATATCTGAACCGATTTTCACCAAATTTCTAGTACTTCTTTCTAGGATGAATTCGGTGAGATGTTCCAAAATTCAGGTCATTTGGACTTATATTGGCCATTTGGTGCACAATTAACCCGAAATCGGTTGAAGGTATATGGGAGCTATATCTATATCTGATCCGAGTATCGCCAATTTCAATAGGGTTCGTCCTTGGACCAAACAAATATTGTTTGGAAAATTTCATCTCAATCGGATAATAAATGCGACCTGCATTTTGTTCACAAGAATACATGGACAGACGGACGGACGAACGAAGAGACGGACTGTCATGCATAAATCGACTCAGAAAGTGATTCTATGAAGATCCTCAAAATTATGGGTCTATCTCGCTTCCCTCACCATGCTACAAAGAAATACACAAATAGGGTATAAATAGATTCTACACAAACACAATTTATAGCAAACTCGGATTTTAAGCACAAAAAAAAAACAGTAAAGAAAGTCCTAAAGTCGGGCGGGGCCGATTTTATGATACCCTACACCACTTTGCTAATTTAGTTGAGCTCCACTTAATAATTAAAAGTTTTTATGGGAGAATTCAAGCATACACCCTATGATTATAATTATAATTTAACATTCAAAGGACTAAATATGCCGAAGCATTTGTATATTTTAAATTCGGACTTGTATTACCCATTTCATGCGAAATTAATTTGAAATCGGATAAAAATATATATGGGAACTATATCCAAATCTGAACCGATCTCGATAAAATTTGGCAAAGATATTTCTGAGCTGTATTTGATATATATCCCTGAATATCGTTGTTACGGAGTGCATATTTTGGCTGTGGATTACAAATACAACAAATCGGATGAACAATATATATGGGAGCTATAACTATATCTGAACTAATCTGCACCAAATTTGGCATACTACCTTCTAGACTAAATTCGGTCGTATGTGCCAAATTCCATCCCATTTGGACAAATATTAGACGTTTTTGGCACAATAAAAGGTAAATCGGACGAAATTATATGTGGGAGCTATATCCAAATCTGAACCGATCTCGATACAATTTAGCAAAGGTATTTCTGAGCTGTATTTGATATATTTCCCCAAATATTGTTGTTGCAGAGTTCATATTACGGCTGCGGAGGGCAAAAATAACAAATCGGATGAACAATACATATGAGAGCTATAGCTATATCTGAACCGTTTTCGCACAAATTTGGCATACTTATTTTCAGGCCTAATTTGGGTGTATATGCAAAATTCCATACAATTCGGGCTGATATTACACGTTTGGTGCACAATAAAAGGTAAATCGGGCAAAGATATATATGGGAGCTTTGTCTAAATTTTTACCGATTACCTCCAATTTCAATAGGGTTCGTCCTTGGGCCAGACAAATGGTCTGTGCAAAATTTCATGTGGATCGGGCAATAAATGCGACCTGTAATTTGTTTACAAAAATACATGGACAGACGGACGGACGGACAGACGGACATGCATAAATCGACTGAGAATGTGATTCTATGCAGATCATCAAAAGGAACTATGGGTCTATCTCGTTTCCTTTTGCCTGTTACAAACAAATGCACAAAGACATAATACCCTGACCACCTTGTGGTGTAGGGTATAAAAAACAAACTAAAAAGTATCAGTCGGTTTTCCCGACCCTTGTTTGTTCATAGGGAAGATTCCGAAGGATTGAGCCAATATTGTGCATTTCGTAACTGACCGAAATGTGAAAGTACGTAGAAAGCTTTTGTTACTGGCTGAAGTCATCGGCTGGCTCCTACATAAAAGAGCAAAGGTTTAGGTTGACTTAGTTCAATTTCGGCGCCTTTTACGAAGAAGCCAGCTAATATCTTAAGTCAATAAAACACATGCTCTATGTATTTTCAACTTAAGACTGATGTAAAAATTACATAGTGCCAGATTTGGACTATATCACCTATATCTATATTTTATATGAGATATGTGCCAATTTTTGGAAAATGTCGAAATATGTGTGAGGCACCATATGTAGTGAACCGACGTATTCCACTTCACCTAATACTGATAAAAATATTGGTATGTGCAAAATTTAAATAAAAACCGAACACTTATTTCCAACTTTATGTGAACTTTTGTGGGGAGGTACCAGAAGGAATTGTTCAATAAATTTCATATTCACATCAGATATCTGGCTGAGAAATATATAAAGGCACATCAAGTTTAACAAGTACAAAAAAGCAGCAGAACTTTTAATACCCTCTACCATTTTAAAAAATCCTGAATAATTAAAAAAAAACAAAATCCTTCGAAAAATACCATCTAAATGAAAAGCCTTATATGGGGATATACGAGGGCCTGGACCTGGATAAGTAATTTTTTGTCATAAGATTTAGTGTGGAATCCGAACTTCATATACGAAATTTGAAATAATTCCGGGGAATAATGTTGCTAATATCATCAAAATCCCGGATAAAGGGAGGTACCGTTATATGCGGTCTATATGAAGACCTGGACCTGCATAGACAATTTTTTGGTAGGTTGTAGTTCTCATTTCGAGCTTCGAACTTTAAATACGAAATTTGAATCGATTCCGTTCAAAAATGTCGCAAAAATCAACAAAATACCGAATATCGAGAGGTACCGTTATCAGAAGGTACCGTTATATGGGAGATATACGATATCGTGGACCTATATAGACAATTATCTTCCAGAGGGTGAAGTACTCAGAAGCGACCCCTAGTGTGCTTTCCCGAATATAGACATGTACCGTTTAATGAGGGATATACGATATCGATATCTTCCAGGCGGCAAACTTCTTAGAATCAACTTCTTGTGAGGATTTTGAGACAATTCCATTGACAAATTTAGTTACAATCATCAAAATACCGAATATCGGGAGGTACCGTTATATGGGAAGTATACGATATCGTGGACCTTTATACACAATACTCTTCCAGGGGGTAAATTACGCACAAATAACTCCTTGTGCAGGAATTCAGACAATTCCATTGAAAAATTTAGTTAGAATCATTAAAATACCGAATATCGGGGGTACCGTTATATGGGGGTCATAAAATATTGTAGATAGATATAGCTCATCTTCGAACTTGACCCGCCTTTAAACAAAAGACTAATCTGTGCAAATTTTTAGCTTCCTATCTTAATTCGTTTTGACTCTAGCGTGATTACAGTAGATGTACAGACGGACGGATAGGGCTAAATCGTCTTAAAATATTACGCTGATAGAGAAAAAATATACAATTTGTTATGTATAATATTGTTATTGCGATGGGTTACAAACGGAATGACGAACTTAATATACCCTCCATACTATGTTTGATGGATGGTATAATAAGTTCAAATATGGGATTTTGGTTCAAATTCCACAAATTTTCGCCTAATTTGATGTGAATTATTCTCCGATTATGCTTCGTTCGTTTAGATAGGTTGATTTTAGGATCATATGATCAAATTCCGAAACAAATTGATTTGAGCTAATTGATGCAAATATGACATATGATGTCCATTTTATTCGATATTGTATTTCAGTTTTCTAAAAGTATTTTTGTTGCGGGTAACGGGCCCTTTCCGACTTTTGTCCTTTACTGTTGCAAATATACCCTCATGTAATGTTCAATATTTTAAATATAACAACGCAACAATTTCATTTTATAATTTCGGTTATCATTTTATTCAAATCCAATATCTCTGATTTACTTCTTCAACAAAAGGGGAGCGGCGAAGGGGGTGGCTACTGGAGCAGCAACAGCGGCGGCAGGGGCAACAGCATAGGCGGCGGGGAAGGCAGCAGAGTGGGCAACGGTGTGGGCATTGTAGCTGGAAGCATAGGGGGCAACATAGGCAGCACTACCAACAACAGCGGCAGCTGGGGCGGTGTAAGCCAATGGGGCGGAGTAAGCCAAAGGAGCAGCAGAGTAGGCCACAGGAGCGGTATAAGCCAAGGGAGCAACTACGCCGGGTTTAGCAGCAGCCACAGCCAAGAGGGCGAAGAAGCAGACAGCGATCTAAAATACAAATAAATAAACAGACATTAATATGATGGAAAATAATATCCTTCAATTTACAATTAACTTACGAATTTGAACATTTTGTTAGGGTTTGGGGTGGTTGGTTGTTTTTGATTGACAATTTAAAATTGATACCCAATCAGCAGAATGACATAGCTTTTATACCAAAACTGAGCTCGGACGTTTTCAAGTGCAAACATTGTTTGATATGCAAGACGTGTGTGGTAAAGGTCACAATTCAGTTACCTTAACACATGCTAACATATTCGGGTTTAATTTAATCAGCTACCTACTGCTGGCCAATAAGTTGAATGTGTGTGTTGTTAAGAAAGGTAATGAGCAGACCGGAATTATATTTTGAATGTTTAACCGCTATTTTATTATTTGATTGTAGAAATTAATTATGTTATAGAAAAAAAATTCCAATTATTTGTTGGACATCAGATATTGGGAAACTTACAGATTGTCACAAAGATGTTATTCAGATGATATTCAGGCTTAACCTCATTGTTGCCGTTTTCAATTAAATGACGTTCATTGATTAGAAGAGAAAATAAAAATTTTTACCAAGGGTAGAGAAGACCACCAAGGTGTATCTCGAAACTTTCGAAGACCCAATGAACACCAATTTGACATTTAATGATTTCCATAAAAAATCTGTTCCGATCTAGTTCACAACAGGTTATTGCGATCATTGAATGTTCTTTTCGGGTAAATAAATCGTTTTTTCACTAACTTTTCAATAATGTCCACCATATGGAATAGACTTGGTACTTCGTAACATTTTTATCAAACTTAGATCAATTTCGAAGATGGACAATATCGGTCAGCTCCTTCTGGTACCTCCCCCCACAGAGGGTCAATGTTTCGAATAACCAAGACGAATTTTATACCCTCAGCCATAGGCTAGATATCATTTGATACGTTCAAGACGGTTTTAGACCCTATGTCTCTTTGGACCAAGTCCGTTTCAGATCATTTGGAGTCGATCTAGCGATGTCCGTCCATCCGTCTGTCTGGCTGGTTGATGCGCACCATAACTATCGAAAGAGGTATCCGATTTGATCCAGACTTGGTGCATCGTAATATTTTTGCCAAACTTAGATCAAGTTCGAAGATGGACAGTATCGGTCCACTCCTTCTAGTACCTCTACCACAAAAGATCAAAATTTTCAGAAAAAAATATTTTCTGCCCAGAAAGAGAAAGGAAAATCCAAGATAGAGAAAGGATAATCAGATTTTGCTCCAACTGTGCAAATCCTAATATTTGCATCACTGCTATATCAGATGCGAAAATGAACAATATCAGTCCACTCCATCAAGTACCTGGTCCCACAAAAGGTCAAAATTTTGAATAATTTTAACTCTTATAAAATGTGATGTAAGTGTCAGCTTGGCTTTAAATTACACACATCACAATGTTTATATTAACCCAAGGTCTGTTATGAAGATGGAATATACCGGTCCACTCCTTCTAGTATTTCCCCACAAAAGGGTCAACATTTTCGAATATCCACGAATCTCCTAAAACGCGAAATTAACATTCGATTCCATTCAGATTTGACACATCTCGATATTTCCATCAACACAAGGTCTGTTCTAAAGATGGTACAGATCGGAGCATTCCTTCGTGTACCTCCCCCACAAAGGGTCAATGTTTTGAATTACCAAAACGATTATAAAATCCGAAATATTCATCCGGTTCTCTTCAAATTTCATACATTTCAATCTTTACACTAACACAAGATATGCTGTGAGATGATGATATCCACTCCTTATAGTACCTCCCCCTCAAAGGGTCAAAATTTCGAATATCCATTAAGCTCATAAAACACGAAATTAACATCCGGTTCCATTTAAACTTGACACATCTCAATATTTTAATCAACACAAGATATGATATAAGGATGGTAGAGATCGGACGACTCCTTCTGGTATCTCCCCCCAGAAAAGGATCAAAGTTTTTAATAACCTTGAATTGAATTTTATGATCGTCTTATAAAATATGCATGTCGCTTCTCTTCAAATTTCACACATCCCATTCTTTATACTATCACAATATCTGCTGTGAAAATGGGATATATAGGTGCACTCTTTCTGGTACTTCCCCCACAAAGGTTCAACATTATGAAAAACAAAACGCGAAATTCTATTCAAATTTCACACATTCAAAAATTTTTGATGACACATGATTTGCTGTGAAGATGATATATATCTGCGAAACCCTTCTGGTACCAATATTTATAATCGGTAAAAATTTAGATATAGCTCCCATATATATCTTCGTCCGATTTGCCTTTTATTGTACACCAAACGTGTAATATCAGCCCGAATAGTATGAAATTTTGCATATATAACCAAATTAGGCCTGGAAATAAGTATGCCAAATTTGATCGAAATCGGTTCAGATATAGCTATAGCTCCCATATATATTGTGGTGAAGATCGGTTCAGATATAGCTATAGCTCCCATATATATTGTTCATCCGATTTGTTGTATTTGTAACCCACAGCCAAAATATGCACTCCATAACAACGATATTCAGGGATATATATCAAATAAAGCTCAAAAATACGGTTCAGATTTGGATATAGCTTCCATATATATCTTTATCTGATTTCAATTTAATTTAGCATCAAATGGGCAATACAAGTCCGAATTTAAAATATACAAATGCTTCGGCTTATTTAGTCCTTTGAACTTTAAATTATAATTATAGTCATGGCGTGTTTAATTGAATTCTCCCATAAAAACATTTAATTGTTAGTGGTGTAGGGTATCATAAAGTCGGCCCCGCCCAACCTTAGGACTTTCTTTACTGGTTCCTCACGCATATTTCCACATTTTCCAAAAAAATTGCAAATATCCTATATAAAATATAGAAAGTAGACGAAATAGTCCAAATATGGTGCGTTGTAATAATTTTATCAGACTAAGACAGATACCAATTGGACAATATGGGCCTACTGCTTCGAAAACTCCTCCCATAAATGGCCAGCAGTTAGAATAATCACAACTAAAGGCTGGGGGTATACATCTGTCGGCAAAACCGACTCCTACAATGTAACTTGCTATATACACAGAAGAAAATGATGAGCAAGGCTTAAGGATCTAAGCTTATCATTAATTTTAAAATTTGCATTTTATATGGCCTCCAAGGATTATTGTGAGGACTCACAAATCTAAAGTAAAACATCAAGTATTGGCACAACTTGAACTTGCCTTAGTGTCATGATTTCTTTATCATGTGAATTCTAAAGTATAACATTATATTCTATTAATTCAGTTGTGAATCATACCCCCATGGACCAGTCCAATCACGTAACACTAAAAAATCATATATAACAATCCAAATAACAGCACATTGTGACGCACACCACTCTGTACTTACATTGATATTGTACCCCTTTTTGGATACATGTTTTGAATACTCAATGTATGTATATGTATGTGTTAAAGTACAAACTTCGATAATAATTTTGTGTATAAAAACAACATTGTATTACTAACTAAGTATCAATTTTAAATTGTCAATCAAACCAAACAAACCACCCCCAAAACCTTAACAAAATGTTCAAATTCGTAAGTATTTTCAAAACTAATTTCTTGATTTTCGAATTTACTGATCTCTAAAAATTGTAATTATTTCAGATCGCTGTCTGCTTCTTCGCCCTCTTGGCTGTGGTTGCCGCTAAACCCGGTGTAGTTGCTCCCTTGGCTTATACTGCCCCAGTGGCTTACTCTGCTGCTCCTTTGGCTTACTCCGCTCCTTTGGCCTACACCGCCCCAGCTGCCGCTGTTGTCGGTAGTGCTGCCTATGTTGCCCCATATGCCTCCAGCTACAATGCCCACACCGTTGCTCACTCTGCTGCTTTCCCTGCCGCCTATGCCGTTGCCCCTGCCGCCGCTGTTGCTGCTCCAGTAGCCACCCCCTTCGCCGCTCCCCTTTTGTTGAAGAAGTAAATCAGAGTTATTGGATTTGAATAAATCGGCTGTCCAAGTTATGGACTAAAAGACATATGTTTTGTTGTATTTATTAGGAAGGCTATAAGTTTATAAGTAGCATATTATATTCGGATTGAAGCTTAACCTTAAGTCTCCTGAAAAATATATTTATACGATTTTTGGGTGTCCAAAACTCGTTTTCGGGTAATTTTCCGAAAATGACGGAAAAATTTATTGGAAATGAGCTGAAAGGACAAAATGTTCGACCAAGAGATTGCTTATTACAAATGAAATGTCAGGTTCCCCCTTTAAAAACAGTTTATTAACCAAAATTTGGGAAGGATAATATCAAAAAAATACCAAATATCGGAAAGAGGAACTGATACAGACATTTTCCGCTAGAGAAAATATTGGCTATTAGAAAGGTCATTTACTCCATAGGAACCTTTATATCGGAGCTATAAGAATATTCGGTATTTTGCCGATTTTAGTCAAATTTTTCAACAGGATTATATATAGATCGGTATTTGGATTTCACAATAGACACCCTCTTCTCTGCCAGATAATATAGCTACCATATAACTGTAACACGCGATATTCGATATTTTAATAATTTAAGAGATGTATACCACAAGCCTTGCGTTATTATAGCCCCCACCATTTTATGGAGGGTATATTGACTTTGTCACTCCGTTTGTAACTCCTCGAAATATTCTTAATAATATTCATAATCTCCGTAAAATTCTGACGATCTAACGATGTCCGTTTGTTGTTATAGAGATAGAAGGCTAAAATTATGCATACATGCCAGTTTACCAGTAGGCAGGTTAAGTTTCTAAATGGGCCATGTCGGACCACGTTTTCGTATGTCCCCCATATAACGGTACCTCCCGATATTCGGTATTTTCATGATTTTAACGACATTATTTACCGGAATTTATTTCAAATTTAATATTTGAAGTAATGCCTATGACAAAAATTTTTGTATGCAGGTCCACGACTTCGTATAGCCCCCATATAACGGTAGCTCCCAAATTTCAATATTTTGATGATTTCTGCATCATTATTTACTGGCATCGCTTCAGATTTTGTATTGGAAGATCTTAATTGGAAGCTGCAGATCCACGTCTTCGTATAACCCCCATATGACGATACCTCCGGATACCCGGTATTTTCATGATTTTTGCGACACCGGAATTGTAACAAATTTGGTATTTAAAGTTTGTGATGGGTACTACACCAGATGGCAAAAATAATCGTATGCAGGTCCACGTCTTCATATAACCCCCTTATAAAGATATATCCCGATACTCGGTATTTTCACGATTTTTGCGGATTGTAACAAATTTCGTATTTAAAGCTCGTAATTGGTACTACAGCCGGGTTGCCCATATTCGACGGGCCCATCTGGCAACGCCATAACTTTTGACAGAGATGTCACATTGCTTAATGACATACCGCGTTTGAAGCGTCAGTCCAAGCAGATTTTTACCATGAACCAACACACGCCACGCGCCAGGCGCACGAGCGCCTGAAATGGTTAAAATTTACATTATGTCAATTGTGAAAACTCAACGTGCTTTTAAAACATTAAAAAATGTGAGAAGTGAGCCTTCTAAGAACACCATTAAGCGTTTATACGAAAAATTTTCGACTGGTAAGGCTCTTTCTAATTTAAAGAGGCCATATAAAAGTCGACCAAGGCGATCGGCCGAGAATATCGCTGCCGTACGAGCCAGTGTTGAGAGGTCCCCAAGAACATCCCAAAAACGCCGTTCTCAGCAGTTGGGCATGGCTCGGTCCACTTTACAACGGATTATTCGCATTGATTGGCATTTGTTCCCGTACAAAATTCAATTGACGCAAAGAATGTTGCCTGCGGACAAGCCTCGTCGATTGGAATGGGGCCAAAGGGCCCAAAGGTCCGTCGAATATGACAACCCTGTACTACAAAAAATTTAATTAGCAGGTCACTTCTTCTTATAGTCCCCATATAACGGTTTTCATTTATGTGGTAGTTTTCGTATTTGACCTAAGTCGGATATAAATGTTACAACATACCAGATTTGGGCTATATCTACAACTTTCTTCACATTTTATGAAATATGTAATAATTTTTGTAAAATGTTGAAACATGGATAAGATACCATATATAGCAGACCGAAGATTTCCACTTAATCTAATACTGATAAAATATATTGGTATGTGCAAAAATTATAAGGAACTCGAACATTTAATTCAACTTTAATGCGAATAAATGATAATCAAAATTTTCGAGTTTTGTGGGTAAGGTAACGCAAATAATGGACCCATAGATTATTATGCACATCAGATCCCTGTTTGATAAAAATATTTACCAAGTTTGAAAAGAATCGCTGACTTGCTACGCAAGTTATGAGAGCTACCAGAAGGGATGGGTAGACATCTATCATCTTCACACCAGATCTTGTGTTGGTAGATATATTTAAATGTGCGAAGCTTTAAAATAATCAGATGCATATTTCAGATTTTATGAGAGATTTTTTTTTAATTGTGACCCGTTGTGGAGGAGTTACGTGAAGGAGAGGTCCGATAAATTTCATCTTCACAACAGATATTTTGTTAATAAAAATAATAGGGTGTATTAAATTTAAAGATAATCTGACTCTTATTTCGCATTTTATAAAAATTATACATTTTTAAAACGTTGACCCTTTGTGGGGGAAATACCAGAAGGAGTAGGCGGATATATCCCATCTCCATACTTGTGTTGGTGGAAATATTAGGATGTGCCACATTTAAAAATATGCTCATTTCGGCCTTTATGAGCGTCATGGTTATTCAAAATGTTAACCTGTTGTGGGGAGGTACCAGAAGCAGTAGTTCTATCCATTCTTGATACCAGATTATACCTTGATAACCGGGTTATACGAGTTATAATTATTACTTAAATGTTGACCCTTCGTGTAGGAGGTACTTTATGGAGTGGGCCGATGTATTTAATTTTCTTACCTGACCTAACACTGATAAAAATATTGGGATTTGCAAAGTTTACTCAAAATTTGGCCATGTTCTATAAGGTAAACTAATTTCATTGAAAATGTTGTCCTTTCGAGGGAGGACCAGAAGGAGTGGACCGATATTGTCCATTTTTACACCAGCCATTGTCTTGAGAGAAATATTTTGATATATGAAATTTAAAGAGAATTGTGTGCCATTGAAGGTTTTTTGAACTTCATGGTTATTAAAATTTGGCCCCGTTGTGTAGGAGGTACCAGAATGAGTGGGCCTATATATTCCACCTTTATTCCAGTTCTTCTGTTGGTAGAAATATAAGGATGTGCCAAATTTGAAAACAATAAAACTCTTGTTTCACATTTTATAAGAGCTATACCTGTTCAAAATGTAGCCTTTAGTAAGGGAGGTACTTAATGGAAAGGACCAATATTACCCATTTTCGCACTTGACCTAGGAATGATAAAACTATAAACATTTACAATGTTTGCACGAAATGTTATATTTTCTTGTTTTATGCGTTAAATTAGTTTCTGTGAAATTTTTGACCTCTTGTGGGGGAGTACCAGAAGGAGTGGACCGATATTACCCGTCTCTGAACTCGATCTAAGTTCGACAATAATATTAAATTGTACTTCCTTCAAAATTTATCGTGTGCACCAGCCCGCCAGACAGGTAGACAGACGGACTGACGGACAACTCCAGATCGACTCGAAATGTCCTGAAAAGGATTTGGTTCAAAGGGACATAGGGCCTAAACACGTTTTCTCGATGAAGCACGTTTTGGCCATATCAAAGTATACAGAGGTTATAGTAGCCATTAACACTTTTTAAAACATTAACTTCCTATGGTAAATAAGACCTCCATAATCTTTTTGATCATCATGATTCTATGCATGTTGGGATTTCGTTCACAATATCCAATGTAGGAATATATTTGATACATCCTCGACTTGACAAATTTTGAAGGTTTTAGATACATCTTTAAATCTCCTCGAAAAGGAATAAGGCAATTCCTATTTTAAACCTCTTTTAAATTGCTAGTTACATTTGTTTGTAACTTCAAGGTTTGATTTGCTTATGCCGTGGCATCACATACTTATATTCTAGACATACTGCTAGCCTTCACTTTCACTTTTCATTTCGTAGTTTTTAAGATCTTGAGTCTGTTCAAGAGAACATAAACTACCACAATAAGAATAATTTTAACCCTCAAAAGTTCAAATTCCCTTCACATTCAAAGTATAACTAACACCTCTCGCATATCAAATAAAGTGTGGTGCCGACTTAACTCAGGCACATGGAAAATATATAAAAGTCATGCATTTCTGGTAATTTTGTATCAATTTTAAATTGTCATTCAAAACAAACAAACCAACCCCCAACCTCAACAAAATGTTCAAATTCGTAAGTTAATTGAAAACAAAATTAAACGGTTGTCAGAGATACTAATATCTATAAATTTGCCTCATTTTAGATCGCTGTCTGCTTCTTCGCCCTCTTGGCTGTGGCTGCCGCTAAACCCGGTGTAGTTGCTCCTTTGGCTTATACCGCTCCTTTGACTTACTCTGCTGCTCCTTTGGCTTACTCCGCTCCATTGGCCTACACCGCCCCAGCTGCCGCTGTTGTCGGTAGTGCTGCCTATGTTGCCCCCTATGCCTCCAGCTACAATGCCCATACCGTTGCTCACTCTGCTGCCTTCCCTGCTGCTTATGCCGCTCCAGTTGCCACCCCCTTCGCCGCCCCCCTTTTGTTGAAGAAGTAAATCAGAGATATTGGATTTGAATAAATGACATGAGCCGCAATTGAAAAACGAACATTTCCGTCTTCTTATTTATTTATTAAACCTTACAACACTATATGTTGGGGGTATTATATGTTTCATTGGGCCAAACATTTTGTAACACATTGTATGTCCGTCCGTATGTTCATGTTAAATTTTAATAATGCTGCAGGTCGCAATTATGGACCGATCCTCGTGAAATGAGGTGAAGTTAGAAGGATGTGAAGTTAGAAGGTCAGCATTGAACCCTATTGTTTTTGGAGATGATCGCAAAATATTTAGGGTTGAATGGACCAAATACAGGAAAATGTTCTGATTTTGCAGCCGCTATACAGGTCGTAATTATAGACCAATCCAAGCAGAAGTTAGCATGGAGCTAGAGCTTGGGGCTGGGCAGAAACCTTCCAATTTTGATGTTTAGTGGGTGAAATAGACCATAATATTTGTGTTAAATAAAGTAAATTTTCCATTAGACCGCGAATATTTTTTGTCCCGACGAAATCAGAAATAATATATATATATATATATATTTAGATTTATATATATATATATATTTAGATTTATATAAGAGGAAAATGTTTGTATGTTTGTTTGTTTGTAATTTATGGACTCGAAAACCGCTGAACAGATTTTCTGAAAATTGGAATGTATACTGCAACATCGCCTGAAAGTAACATAGGCTATATACATTTTTGAAATTCCACTTGGAAGTGGAGATATAGCATCAGAATCGGACGTACCTCCCAAAAATTTAGATTTAGTATGCACATAACTATTGATCGGTTAAAGATACAATCACCAAATTTGAAATGCGTAACGGAATTTGGAACAAAAATAAATTTGCCAAATTATATTGAAATCGGTTCCGATTTGGATATAGCTCCCATATATATATTCGGCCGATTTCAAGCATTTGATGCACCAAACACGCTATGTAACCCAAATTTCAAAGAAATTTGAAACGTGTGATGAATTTTATCTAAAAAATTGATTTCCCAAATTTAATTGAAATCGGTTCAGATTTGAATATAGCTTCCATATATATTTTCAACCAATTTCATGTATATGATGCACCAAACACGCAATTTCGCCTTAGGCTAACACTAAAAACAACACAACAATTAATTTGAAATACGCTTATTACGGGGAAGTATGTCGCTACCTCGAATTCACTAATTGCAATAGAAATGCCACTCAACTTCAAAAAATTGCAGTTTTCTGCACGCTTGATATTTGCTATGAAATAAATAAATCTAAAGGACAAACCCATCGTGTATGCATGTCATGCTACTGCTTTTCTAGTGGTTTTGTTTATAAACGCATTAAAGTAGTGCAATATTTTTTTTTTAAATTTGTTTTATTTTTTCCATCCGACATATATTCGTAAATAAAATTTCGAATGCATATAAAATCAAAAGGGGTAGCGAAACGCACAGGGTTCAGCTAGTAAAAGTATAAAATCTAAAAAAATCGCATAAAAAGATGCCAATAAATAATATAGATTTTGTAGTATTTCGTATTATCGGTCTTTTCACATTTTTTAGTAAATATGGGCAAATGTACCTGGTCAAATACTAAGGGTTATATCTGGGCATAATTTCAAAAGCGAAATCCTCCAAAATGGTTTTGGACGTAAGGGAGCTTCTAACATATTGTAGTGTTGTAGGGTATCACATGATCAGGCCCGCACGACTATATCCTTTGCCTAATTGTTTTTATTTTAGAAATTATATTTTCAAAATACAGAACTTAGTTTGAAATGCATTTTCTACAACCGGGTTCGTCCTTCAGCCAAACAAATAAAGAATGCAAAATCGAAAAAATAAATTCGGCTTGTACATTGCTTAAAAATACGTGGACAGGCGGACGTAGATGCTTAAATCAACCAAGAATGTGATTCTATGAAGATCATCAAAAGGAACTTAGGGTTAATATCCTTTCCTTCTGAATGCTACAAACAAATGTAAAAGGACATAGTACCCTTTAACACAGTATACACCACACTGTGTGTTATCATTGTAGTCAACACATCTCAGAAATAAAAAGAGCAAAATGTTGGTTCAAATAATTTCGGGGTGTAAAATTATTACGGGCCACGAAATATTTTTATTTGTCTGGATTATGAAATGAAATTAAATTGAATTGTATTATACAGCTGTAAATTATAAGAAGTGATTTAGAAAGTGGAGCAATCACGTTTAAAATCTGTAAATAATTGGTAGTAGTTGGGTCCCCACGACATTTTCAACCGGATGATACTTTGCTTAGAATCTAGTCTAGCAGGAGTAGAAGAATACCTCGCAAAAATATTTAATATTTTTACATGTTTTGGCATGAAGTCCATGCCATTAAAAGAGATTTTGAAGACTATTATTGAAAGATTATTGCGTGAAAATAAGCTCTGGTCTCAAATCTAGCCGTAGTGAAAATAATCTGTAATTTGGAAATCTTAGTGAGTATAAAAATCCTTGCAAAAATTAATAAAACGCTTCATTTTCTTTTTCAATTATTCACACTGTCCATTATTTTATTCAAATCCAATATCTCTGATTTACTTCTTCAACAAAAGGGGAGCGGCGAAGGGGGTGGCAACTGGAGCAGCAACTGCAGCGGGAGCTACAGCATAGGCAGCGGGGAAGGCAGCTGAGTGGGCAACGGTGTGGGCATTGTAGCTGGAGGCATAGGGGGCAACATAGGCAGCACTACCAACAACAGCGGCAGCTGGGGCGGTGTAGGCCAAAGGAGCGGAATAAGCCAAAGGAGCAGCAGAGTAGGCCACTGGGGCGGTGTAAGCCAAGGGAGCAACTACACCGGGTTTAGCGACAGCCACAGCCAAGAGGGCGAAGAAGCAGACAGCGATCTGAAATAAGGATGAATTTTAAAGATTAGTACTTTTTTTTAAAAAATTAATTAGTTTGCCAATAAACTTACGAATTTGAACATTTTGTTTAGGGTTTGGGTTGGTTTGTTTGTTTGGTTGGACAATTTAAAATTGATACTTAATTAACCATAAGCCACGGCTTTTATACATTTAAAGCTCCCAGCTTGCTAAAGCAATTGGCTATGCCAAAAGCATGCGTTAAAGGGTTTGCATATTTTAGCTACCGTTTAACGATGGCCATGTCGTGCTAATTTTTTTAATTTTATCATTATGTCTCTTATGATGGTGACACTAGACAGCAGTGGGTCAGTGGGACGTGATTCAGCAAATTATATGGAGTATAACTATTCATATTACAATAGAAAATATGTCTATCTTTAGGCCTACTACAAAAAGTTCATTGACATTGGACTACAAATGCATCGACCAAAATATTTGTTTGTAATTTTGAATAAATGCTGAATTCTCTACATCAAATATGTTAAGAAATATCTTAAAATACAAATTACCTTTGTTACACTTAAAACTCATATCTCCTTTATCTTTCTTGTTGAAACTAAAAATACTTGCTTTATAATTACGGTAGAAGGCATTGTTTTTCACTTTAACAATGGTAGATCACGTTCCAGAGCTTAAAATCAAATTCCGGATTGGTCATTGCCTACCTCAACAAAAACACACATTCAATTTAATAGCCACTACTTAGTAGCTGATAAAGTTAAATAATAATAGATTAGAGTATTTGTGCGTAATTCAAGTTCAACCTTTGCCATATCCGCCGTGCATACCAATTAATGTTGGCATTTAAAAACTCCAAAGCTGGATTTTGGGTATATAAGTTGGAATTTTTGGGTGATTAGGTATCAATTTTAAATTGTCAATCAAAACAAACCAACCAACCCCAAAACCTCAAAAAAATGTTCAAATTCGTAAGTTCATTGGCACACCTATTGATCTTTTAACTAAGGTACTAATCATCCTTATTTCAGATCGCTGTCTGCTTCTTCGCTGTCTTGGCTGTGGCTGCCGCCAAACCCGGTGTAGTTGCTCCCTTGGCTTACACCGCTCCCGTGGCCTACTCTGCTGCTCCTTTGGCTTATTCCGCTCCTTTGGCCTACACCGCCCCAGCTGCCGCTGTTGTCGGTAGTGCTGCCTATGTTGCCCCCTATGCCTCCAGCTACAATGCCCACACCGTTGCCCACTCTGCTGCCTTCCCTGCCGCCTATGCTGTTGCCCCTGCCGCCGCTGTTGCTGCTCCAGTAGCCACCCCCTTCGCCGCTCCCCTTTTGTTGAAGAAGTAAATCAGAGATATTGGATTTGAATAAAGTGATAACAACAATGACAAGTTAAAATCGAAAAACAATTAATTTATTTGATTTTAAGATTATATGGGAAATTTGGCATATTCGAATTCTAATAGCTTGCATTCAGTTGAAAATTAACCTTTCAGGACTTGTAATATGTAAACAAAAGGCCTTGAGAACTATTGTTTACTATTTTTGATTCGAGAGCACTTTTAAAGGTTTTGAAAGCTTCTGGTGTCTTGGGAATGAATTCCATGTACAGAATATATTTCGAAGGTCTCCAAGAATTCAATGTCTTTTGAAGACCTTCAACGTGACATGCATTTATATTTGTAATTTAGGTATAGAAAGCTCATACGTACATTGGTCATCTTCCGTAGATATGCTTGCAAAGCCTTCTAGAGAACTTCAAGGCCTTGGTTTGGAGAAAAATGTAGTAATCGTTACGAATAAAAGGGTGATTGACTAACTGATTCATACTCGGTTTTACCGACAGATGTACAAGGTGAGATAAAAAAACTGCAACCAACTTCAGACTGCAGTTATTGGTGAGAATTTTCCAGAAAAAAGTTGTTCGTGATTGAATTCAAGCGTGATAGTGTGATTTCTTTATTTTTGGCTGGACAACCACAAGTGGCTATCGTTAGAGCACGCCAGCATTTAAATGTGAATAAATCTTTTGTGTCTCGTACCATCGCTCGTTACCGTGATACTGGTAGCGTAGCCCGACGTCAAGGAAGTGGACGGACGAAAACAGCAACAACAGCAACACAAAAAATAAAGAAGCGACTTGATCGAAATATCGAAAAATGGCTCGGGAGCTGAACATATCACAATATTCCATTCGGCAAATATTGAAAATGACCGCGGGGTAAAGCCATTAAAATTCCATAAAGTACAAGAACTTACACCGCAACAGAAAGGAAATAGACTCAAAAGAGCTAAAGAGTTGCTTCGCATGGCCGAAAGTGTATAACTGCCGAATTTGATTTTCCGATGAGAAATCATTCGTTGTCCAGCAATTTGTAAATAAACAAAATTATCTTGTTTACTTGCCAAAGAAGTCAGCTGAAAATGTGCACCTTTGGTTGGCCACCAGAACTCAAGCGCCGGCCATGGTGATGTGTGGGCCGCCATAACAGCCGATGGTCGCTCTCCGCTCGTATCAATCGTCCATGGTATCAAAATTAATGCCGAATCTATGATTCCTGCCCCATCCCTTCGCCCTAATACCAAAATCTAATACTTCTCGTAAAAAACACATTTCCTAACCACCGCTAAATATATATTCGAGACACAAACAGAGATCTCAATATCAAATATTAGGACTCCAGCCCTACCCCTTCACCCAATTCCAAATTTAGTTCTTTTTTGCACTTTTCGTACAAATAAAGGATGCATTTTCAAACCACCGCCAAATATCAAACATAGATACCATAAGTTATCTACATTGCAAATTTCCGAATTTTATCCCTATCCCTTCACCCAATACTAAATATAATACCATTCAAAACTTTTCTTACAATTATAGTACACATTTCGAAACCACCTCCATATGTCCGGGCTACACACGAATAGCGGCTCTAATACCGATCTTCAGATTTTAATAACTATCTGTTCTCCTAATACCAAATTGTACCAAGTAAAGAACTTTTTAGTATTTTTCATGCACTTGTAGTGCACATTTCCAAAACCACCTCCTTACATCAATGCAACATTTAGTACCTTTCGTACGCTTTCCGAACACATTTCCAAAGCCATTTTAAATTTTCTGATCAATCCGTTCATCTAAATCTAAATTGTACCGAATTTAGTACGATTTAGTTCAGTTGTTAAATTTATTACATAGTTCCAAAAACATCTACTTCCCACACTTACGTTTTATACCCAATATTAAGATTTTAGCTGTATCCCTTCAAAATATACCAAAAGATACGAAATTGAGTACCTATTTCCAAAATTTTAAAATGAAAAAAAAAAAAAAAAACTGAATGGTTTTTCGTTTTTAATTTGTCATTTTTGTTATCACTTTATTCAAATCCAATATCTCTGATTTACTTCTTCAACAAAAGGGGAGCGGCGAAGGGGGTGGCTACTGGAGCGGCAACAGCGGCGGGAGCTACAGCATAAGCGGCAGGGAAGGCAGCGGAGTGGGCAACGGTATGGGCGTTGTAGCTGGAGGCATAGGGGGCAACATAGGCAGCACTACCGACAACAGCGGCAGCTGGGGCGGTGTAGGCCAAAGGAGCGGAATAAGCCAATGGAGCAGCAGAGTAGGCCACTGGAGCGGTATAAGCCAAGGGAGCAACTACACCGGGCTTAGCGGCAGCCACAGCCAAGACAGCGAAGAAGCAGACAGCGATCTGAAATAAGGATGATTTTTAAAGATTAGTACCTTAGTTAAAATATCAATAGGTGTGCCAATGAACTTACGAATTTGAACATTTTTTTTGAGGTTTTGGGGTTGGTTGGTTTGTTTTGATTGACAATTTAAAATTGATACCTAATCACCCACAAATTCCAACTTATATACCCAAATATAAATGCCACCATTAATTGGTATGCACGGCGGGTATGGCAAAGGTTGAACTTGAATTACGCACAAACGTACTAATCTATTATCATTTAACTTTATCAGCTATTTAGTAGTGGCTATTAAATTGAATGTGTGTTTTTGTTGAGGTAGGCAATGACCAATCCGGAACTTGATTTTGAGCTCTGGAACAAGATCTATAATTGTAAAAGTGAAAAACAATGCCTACTACAGTAATTGTAAAAAAAGTATTTTTAGTTTCGACAAATCGAGAAGAATAATGGGGATATGAGTCTTAAGTGTAACAAAGTTAATTTGTATTTTATATTGGACACTTGAGATATTTCTTAACATATTTGATGTAGAGAATTCAGCATTTATTCCAAATTACGAACAAATATTTTGGGCTATGCATTTGAAGTCCAATGTCAATGAACTTTTTGTAGTAGGTCTAAAGATAGACATCTATACCATTGTAATATTAAAAGATATACTCCATATAATTTGCTGAATCACGTCCCATTGACCCACTGCTGTCAATAGTCGCCATTATGTGAGACATAATGATAAAATTAAAAAAATTAGCACGACATGGTCATCGTTAAACGGTAGCTAAAATATGCAAACCCTTTAACGCATGCTTTTGGCATAGCCAATAGCTTCAGCCAGCTGGGAGCTTTAAATGTATAAAAGCCGTAGTTTATGTTTAATTAAGTATCAATTTTATCTTGTCCAACCAAACAAACAAACCAACCCAAACCCTAAACAAAATGTTCAAATTCGTAAGTTTATTGGCAAAGTAATTAATTTTTTAAAAAAAAAGTACTAATCTGTAGAATTCATCCTTATTTCAGATCGCTGTCTGCTTCTTCGCCCTCTTGGCTGTGGCTGCTGCTAAACCCGGTGTAGTTGCTCCCTTGGCTTATACCGCTCCTCTGGCTTACTCTGCTGCTCCTTTGGCTTATTCCGCTCCTTTGGCCTACACCGCCCCAGCTGCCGCTGTTGTCGGCAGTGCTGCCTATGTTGCCCCCTATGCCTCCAGCTACAACGCCCACACCGTTGCCCACTCCGCTGCCATCCCTGCCGCCTATTCAGTTGCTCCTGCCGCCGCTGTTGCCGCTCCAGTAGCCACTCCCTTCGCCGCACCCCTTTTGTTGAAGAAGTAAATATTGGATTTGAATAAAATAATGGACAATGTGAATATTTGAAAGAAAAAATGAAGTGTTTTATTAATTTTTGCAATGATTTTTGCAAATTACAGATAATTTTCACTACAGCTAGAAATATGGCAAGAACCCTTTTTCACACAATAATTTCTCAAAAGTAACCTTTTAATGAAGGGTTACCCCGACGTGATTGCCATGACATTCCATGACATATTCAGGTCCGTTACGATAAATTCCGAATTTAACTAGAGCCACGAATTTAACAGAGAAAATAACATAGCTATGTTAACTTAACAGAGCTACATAATGGTTTTTTCCTTAATATTTTTGATTTTTAATTACTTATCGTATAAAAACGCTAATAAAATGCATTATATAATCATAATTAAATTATATTCCAAAGATCGTAAGGCAACATACACCTATTAACTCGTAGCACAATACTATGTGCCAGGACAAGTTTACACCAAACTGTGCCTTCCAGAACAATTCTGCCGGCACAATATGGGTATCTACGGAAAGCTTATGAAGTCTACTATCCATTGGCATTAACAAAATTATAGGAATGTCATATTCACCCAATTTATTTTTATTGTGCCCGAAATGCAAAATATGTGCCCAAATTATTTGAGTTTTGGTATGTACAACCAAATTTATTCTAAAAACAAGTAAAAAAGCAGAAAGTTCGGCCAGCCTGGACTTTAAATGCCCTCCACCATTTGGAAGGAATAGTTAGTTGTGGTTGTGTGCGAAGTTGTGGACCTGAATACACGATTATTGTTATAGTACATTAGGAACTTCAAAAACGAAACTTGAAACAATTTCGGTGGATAATGTCGCTATAATCATCAAAATAACGATTATAGGGAGGTTACGCTATATGGGGTCTATACGGAGGCTTGGACCTGTATGGGCAATTTTCTGTCATAGACTAAAGTACCCATTATGAACTTAAAATACGAAATTGGAAACAATTTCAATGGATAATGTTGCCAAAATCATCAAAATACCGAATATAGGGAGGTTACGCTATATGGGGACTATACGACGACGTGGACCTGTATGTGCAATTTCATGTCATAAAATCAAGTAACCATTAGGAATTTCAACTTCAAAATTTGAAACACTTCCGGTGATAGGTGCTGTACAAATCATTAAAATACCGAATATCTGGAGGTACAGTTATATGGGAAATCTACCAAAATCTGGACCTACAGGGTTGCCCATATTCGACGAACCCATGACTCTTTGGGCCCATTCCAGTCGACGAAGCTTGTCCGTAGGCAACATTCTTTGCGTCAATTGAATTTTGTACGGGAACAAATGCCAATCAATGCGAATAATCCGTTGTAAAGTGGACCGAGCCATGCCCAACTGTTGAGAACGGCGTTTTTGGGATGTTCTTGGGGACCTCTCAACACTGGCTCGTACGGCAGCGATATTCTTGGCCGATCGCCTTGGTCGACTTTTATATGGCCTCTTCGGATTAGAAAGAGCCTTACCAGTCGAAAATTTTTCGTATAAACGAGAAATGGTGTTCTTAGAAGGCGCACTTCTCACATTTTTTAATGTTTTAAAAGTACGTTGAGTTTTCACAATTGACTTCAATTGACACAATTGACTATATCAGGGCGCTCGCGTGTCGTGTATTGGTTCATGGTAAAAATCTGCTTGGACTGACGCTTCAAACGCGGTATGTCATTAAGCGATGTGACATCTCTGTCAAAAGTTATGGCATTGCCAGATGGGTCCGTCGAATATGGGCAACCCTGTATATTGTTTACAGCAAATTCCTGTTAAAATTAGAAGAACACTAGAAAACCCAAAAAACCTTGAATCGGTTATTGGGGACTATAAAAAACGTAGACTTATTAGACATATTATCAATACTAAAATTCCTGCAGACCTAACACACATCTGAGTAAAATTTTTTCAAGCCTCATTAAGAAGATAAATTAATTTCCACACACGAACAGACAGACGGTCGGACATCGCTAATTCGATTTAGAATTTTATGCTCATCAACAATATATATACTTTGTGGAGTCTAAAATTTATATTTCGAGGTATTGCAAACGGAATGACAATCTCCATACTATGGCGGAGGGTATAAAAAGTATGCCAGATATAGTTATAACTCCCATATATGTCTTATGCGATTTCATATTAAAGTCCCCCACAGCCGTAATACGCACTCCATAACAATGATTTTCGGTACAAGAAGTCAGATCCTGCTTGGAAATACTTATACCTGACTTTTTCGACATCGGTTCTGATTTGGAAATAGCTCCCACATATATCACTATCCGATTTCAAATTTTTGTGCACGAAATAGGTAATAAAGGCTGAAAGGAGATGGATTACCAAATTTAGCCTATAATTATGTAAATATATCGAATTCGGTGAAATTTAGTTAAGATAAAGTGTAGGTTAAAATAAAATCGGGCCTGCTCGACTTTTGCCCTGATTTTCGTTAGAAATGCATAATTGTCATACTTTTTACACCGAAGTGTTAAAATAAAGTATTGAAAAGTAAACATTCGTATTTTAATTGTGTTGACTTGGTTGAGTTTTGACCGGTATTTGGGCGCCAAAACCTGCTACTTAATTGAAGATTTTTGTGAATAAATTCCATATTTTCCCAAAATGATCACATATCTCACTCAAATTGAAGCTAGTAGTCCAAATACGGCAAATTGTAAAATTTATATCAAACTTGGGTCAGTTACAAAATCAAGAAATGTCCACGTCAATATGATTTAAAAATATCAAATTTCAGCGACCTTTGCTGGAAAATATAGCTAGACCCAACCAAAACACCTGTAATCACCCGCAACTGCGAGTTTTCATCAAAATAATCCCCTAAATTACCAAATAATGGCCACCGTGGCTAAAAATTGGAACTGAATCCTTCGAAATATAAAATATCAATAAGACCTCATGTAGTAGATCTAAATTTTAATTTATTCTGAGTCAATGAACTTGCAAAGCCGAATTTTAATTGGAATGGTTGATGATGCATCTGAAATCTGTAAAATACTTTTATTTGGGAAGTTCCATAATGGATTAGATGTTGGAACAATTTTGAATTTTTTTCAAAAAGAAAGCCATACGAAACCATGGAGAAGTCCATACCAGAGTAGATGGTACTAATTTTGAACTTCAAATCGAAATAGGCCTACAATTATTTTTAATGTATTTAATTATGTTAAAAATGTGCCTAAAATTATCAAAATACTAAATACCAGATATCTTCGTTGTCGGGCCATATCCGAACGAAAACAGGTGAGAACAATTTTGTGTCAGTGGAGGTGGTACCCATTTCGAAAACAAGTACCAATTTGAAAAAAATTCAGTTGAAAAAAATGAGGCTAAAATCATCCATAACCCGAATTAAAATATTCGGGTGCCGTTTTAAGGAATCTATGCCACCGCTTAGACATATATGGACTTATGACTCTGTGTGTACACTTTTAGTCTCTTAAGAACACAAACTGGCGATTTTCTGGAAATTCGGGCATCACCTGAAAGGTAATTAAAAAAAATCCATAGAGGCCTTAATGCTAATTGAAAGGCCTTCTATGTTAACATGATTTTCGATGTCTTCTATGTGTGGAGGATTTGGCCGATTAATTCCATATTCATATCAGATCTCTGGTTGAGAAAAATATTAAGACATACCAAGTTAGAGAAGAATCGTTGGCTTGCATCGCAAGTTATAAGATATATAAGTATTTAAAATATTGACCCCTCTGTGGGGGGGGTAAACGGAGGGGGTGGACCGAAATATATAATCAATATATCACACCAGGTTTTGTGTTAGTATAAATATTGGAATGTGCAAAGTTTATAAAGAATCAGAAGCTTTT